TGACTTCTTGCAAAAGAGCGTTTTTATGTGTTTGTCACTAAACAGTCACTTCAGTGGTGCGAGCCGACCGGAGGGGCCCCGTGACCCTGGACTCCACAGCTCCCCCTTGCACACAGCCTACCTATTGTCTCCCTAAGGCTCAGGGTCTCAGAGGGCAGCATGTCGGCACCACCCACTTCTGACTTGACAACAAGGGCACCTTCCATTTTTACATGCAGCACTCCAAGTTTCCACTCAAACTGAAGCAATCCTCTCACCTCAGGGGTGGCTGGGCCCCGGAGGCTAAAGAGGCTTTTTCAAGCCCGTCCTTCCTTTTTATCTTAAAGATAATTTCCCCGAGCGCCTGAGAAACAACCTGCTCACACTATTTCCCCCGCAAAACAGGAGTGTTGATAAGCGATGCGCAAGAAGGAAGCAGCTATTGTACCAGATGACAGACGGCGTGAATTACAGCGTTTCAGTTGAGCGCTAGCCAGTGCTTAGCAATCCGTTTAAAAACACAACATTAACATATATGAGCTGGCCTTGTCTGGAATCCAAAATGTGAGCGACGATAATGTATGTTGACATGTCGGTGCCGTGTGAATTTAGAACCTGTGACACACTGTTTATCTGGCAGCACGGCCACAAACATTTACACGCTGTTAATTTTAATTGTCCTAATTCGAGGCAAAGCCCGTGATACAAAGGTAACAGATGGCGTTTCCACAGACTGTGGGTCACAACAGAGATTATCCTCTCAAATCCACTAATGAAAGCTGGCAGCTAAAGTCAAAGGGAGTAATACCCCAATAAATATCTTGTTTCGACATTTATTAAAAAACACGAGGGAGCATTAGACCCCGACGGCAATAAAAACCGTAGAGGACCACCGTGCGACTTGGTGGGCATTTGGGTTCGAAGTTGCACATTACAAACAGCTGATTCCGATGGCAAACGTATAAAGAGGACAGTAATGGATGACGTTAAATTTAAGGAAAACAACAACAACAACCATGACATGAATTATGTACATTAACTGAGGAAGTTCAGTGACAATAAAACTGTTCTAATCTGGTTCTGTTTTCAACAAACTCCTTAATGCATAGGTTCCTAAAGTGGAGGTGCGTCCCCTAGAGGGGGCGCAGTGCCATTGCAGGGGGTGGGGGCGCAGATGGAATGAATGAATGAAACATATTAACATATAACATATATATTGACATATATTGTCCAATGCTGCAAATGCGAAAAAACAGATTGGTCGAAGAAAAATGAATGAATGAAAATGAATATCTGATAATAATATTGTAAAGGAGGCCATTATTTTTTAACTTTAACTGTGATAATAATATTGTAAAGGAGGCCATTCTTTTTTAACTGACCAAAGTTGGAAATGCTAGCATAAAACGGACAAGTTTAAGGTGTGTAAATTTAAAAATATGTTTTAAAAAAATTCTAAATTCTATTTAAAAAAAAAAATCTTAACCATACAGGGCAAAAGCCATTCTGAATTGTATGACTTTTACATTTATTAGCCGTTTAATGTGTTTAATCTGTACATATCAGCTGAAACAGTCCACGTAAACAGTGCTACGGTGCCATTGGCAGATCCTTTTTGGCTCGAATATAATGTTGAACTGCGTGTTCCACTTATCTACGCCGACAGCACAGATCGACCATTAAAATAAAAAAAAAACAATTTTAGGCCTATATCGGAAAAAAAGAAAATGGTTCCATCCTGATCACAGGGTGAAAAAACAAACAAACGTCATCGCAGGAAACACATTGTTGTTCACAGGAAACGTTTGACAGAGGAATAATGTGGACGCTGGCTGTGGACGCGGGCCGCGGTCACTGGTGACGACTTTTCCTCATTCCCTAATTTTTAGTGGCACGCATTCCTAAGATAAGTGTAAGATGAGTGACGCAGGGAATCCAGTTTTTTTTCCTGCTTTGTCCTTAAAGGGAAGAAACATTTCT